AGGTGTTTAAACACAGTTGTGTGGTGACAATTAGTGAATATAACCAACTTCTAATGGTAAAAATGTAATAATATTATTTTTTTATAATCACATTTTATAAAAATTGTCTGCAGAAACACTTTGATTGTCATTCTCACTTTGTGCGTGTCATCAGAGGGGGAAAGCCCCGCTCGTTAGTTGTAATCTCTCCCTCATCAGCATAGGACATTAGCCTTGTTGTTGAATCTGCCACTATGCTGACGCATAGGTATTTGAAGCTCCGCCTTCTTTTGAAAATCTCTTTTGTGTTTAAAGCGACAGTCACCAAAGTAGCACAATTTGGATCAAAGCCTAAAAGGGGCAGTTTCAAACAGTTATACAAGATTATTTGTGGGATATTTTGAGCTGAAACTCGACACAGACATTATAGGGACATCAGAGACTTATTTACATATTTTTAAAAGGGGCATAGTAGATCCCATGAGCATGCAAAATTTTGTCAGATGGTGCTGCGAAAAGGAGAGGGATAAAACAAGATGTTGCAACGCTGATAAATCCATCGATAGCAAATACACCTTACCACTACTCAAAATACCCCAGCAACAACATAGCAACAATGTGCAACTGCATAGCAACACCTTAGCAACCACATAGCAACACCTTAACAACTACCTGGAACACCTTAGCAACCACCTAGCAACCACTCAGAACAGCTTTGCCAACGCTTAGCAATGCCTTAACAACCAGTCAAAACACTCTAGCAACACCTTACCAATCACCTAGTAACACCTTAGCAACCCCTCAGAACCCCCTATCAATAGCCTTGCAAGAAACAAGCCAATCCATACTAGAAACATGCTAACCTAATTGTAGAACTGTTTCAAACCTCTTAAAACTACTTTTAAAAACTTCTTAAAAACTACCTTTAGTTTTCTAGTTGAATAAATTTCACAAAGGCTGCTAATCATGATTCTGATCAAATAAACCCTGATTGGTTGCTGTATGTCAGTCAGTTGTCCGCATTGGAGATTGTTGACGCTGCCACACATTTGTGGTGTCACAAGAGATTTGCCAGGATGCTCTAATGCTACATTCTGTTTGGACATCACTGTGCTAGGCATTTCCAGTCCCATTCTAGTAACTTTGTCAGAACAACAGGGAGTTGCCATCATTTTGTAGGGTGTTCCCACATGTCATCATGTCCTGCAACTTTCCTTTGCACTTGTACATCCTGATTTTGAGTTGGATGTGTTTCTGGGTCGACATAATTTGTTGATCCTAAAACATATTTTATGTCAGAACACTGAATTCAAACCTAATCCCTTCCCATAAACCTAACCCTGCCCATACTGTGCTAAAATCAGAGGGAAATAAACCCTGATTATAAACCTAAAGTTGACAAACTATAAACTTGTCCCTCAAATTTTATACAAAGTTTCTAAAGTAGGAACTTGTTGCACTTGGTAAAATCAGAATCTGCATGAGTTCACTTTTTAAGCACCAGCATCAGCCCCTCTTCATAATCCAGATCCTATTGTTCTCCACCAAGAAGGGGTTCAAACACTGGACAGAAGGTGGTGCATCACCATGTCATGTTCAATTCTAACATACATTTGCGACCCCAACTCTCGACTAAATCCTGCAGCATGACTTAAATCATTGTGATTCCTTGGTGCAAACTTGCAGTAAACAAACTCCACTAGGAGCATCTCATTGCCCCCCTTTCAAAATGACTACTTCCAGGGGCCCCTTGATATCCTCAGGACACCCACTTGGGGGCAGTCACGTCCTTGTTGAAAAACACTGCTTTACAATGGGGGTGCCCAAACCTGCTCCTGGAGGGCCACTGTCCTGCAGAGTTTAGCGCAAACCAAAAGCTAATCAAAGTTTTTAGACTTACTACAAACCTGCTGGCTAGTGTATTGTTGCTGGTTGGAGTTAAACTCTGCAGGACGCTGTCCCTCCAGGAGCAGGATTTGACACCCCTTCTTTACACCATTGTAATGTTGTTATGGTATTGTTAAATATTTGTTAGATGTTGCTTCGTAACCCTCAAGTCACTTAGATATTTTTTTGTCTACAAGGTGACAATCACAAGGCCATCATCTAGTGAGATTTAGAAAAGCACAGCAGCTTATGAATTCATATTTAAACTTCACCCAAAACTGACAATTCTGTCATCATTTACTCACTTTTCACAAACCCGTTTGAGTTCCTTTCTTCGGTTAAACACACAAGAAGACATTTGAAAGAACTTTGGAAGCTCTGGTAGCTGTTGCCTTGTGTAGTATTGGTTTTCAATACTATAGATGTCAGTGACGACCGGTTTCCACACTCTAAAAAATGCTGGGTTCAACCCAATTTTGGGTGTAAGATGGTCTAAACCAACTGCTGGGTTAATTTTTTAATCAAATTAATTGGACCAAATTTAACCCAGTCTTTGTGTTAGTCCACATTTTACCCAATTTGGATTTAAATATCCCAGCATTTCTAATGTGCAACACTTTTCTAAATATGGTCAAAACAATCTCAGTTTTGAAACCACTCAAAGGTGATTCAAATATAAATTTTTAAAATGCTGGATTATTGCTACCCAATTTTGGGTGTAATACAGTCTAAACCAACTGCTGGGTTAATTTCTTAATTAAATAATAGAACCAAATTTAATCCAGTGTTTGGGGTAGTCCATATTTTACCCGATTTGGGTTTTACTTACCCAGCATTTCTTAGAGTGCAACATTTTTGTAAACATCATTAAAACAATTTCAGCTTTGGAACTAGTTAAGGTTGATTTAAATATACATTTTTACAATGCTGGGTTATTTCAACCTAATTTTGGGGGTAATACCATCTAAACCAGGGGTGAGCAAACTCGGTCCTGGATGGCTGGTGTCCTACAGATTTTAGCTCTAACTTGCCCCAACACACCTGCACAGATGTTTCTAGAAAGCCTAGTAAAAGCTTGATTAGCTGGCCCAGGTGTGTCTGATTGTTGTTGGAACTAAACTTTGCAGGACACCGGCTCTCTAGGACCGAGTTTGGGTACCCTTGGGCTAAATCATCTGCTGGGTTAATTTTTTTAAATTAAATTTATAGGACCAAGTTTGACCCAGTGTTTGGGTTAGTTCATATTTTACCCAATTTGGTTTTAAAAACATCAGTATTTTTTAGAGTGCAGCATTTTTGTAAATATCATCAAAACAATCTCAGTTTTGGAACGACTTTAGGGTGATTTAAATACAAGTTTTTTTGTTTTTGTTTTTTTTTTGTGTTTTTTTTACAATGCAGGGTTATTTCAATCCAACTTTGGGTGTAATAGTCTAAACCAACTACTGGGTTATTTTTTTTAATTAAGTTCATTGGACCAAATTTAGCCCTATGTTTGGGTTAGTTCATATTTTACCCAATTTGGATTAAAATAAGCTTGTATTATGTAGAGTGCAGCATTTTTCTAAATATCGTCAAAATAATTTCAGTTTTGGAACCACTTGATGGTGATTTAAATATAAATTTTTAAAATGCTGGTTTATTTTAACCCAATTTTGGATGTAATACAGTCTAAACCAACTGCTGGATTAATTTTTTAAAATTAAATTAATAGGACCAAGTTTAGCCCAGTGTTTGGGTTAGTCCATATTTTACCCAATTTGGGTTTAAATAACCCAGCATTTCTTAAAGTGCAACATTTTTCTAAATATCATCAAAACAAAATCAGTTTTGGAACCACTTGAGGGTGATTTAAATATAATTTGTTTCAATGCTGGGTTAGTTCAATCCAACTTTGGGTGTAATACAGTCTAAACCACCTGCTGGGTTATTTTTTATTTTTATTTATTAAATTCATAGGACTAAATTTAGCCCAGTGTTTGGGTTAGTTCATATTTTACCCAATTTGGGTTTAAATAACCCAGCTTTCTTAGAGTGCAGCATTTTTCTAAATATCGTCAAAACAATCTCAGTTTTGAGACAGTTTTGAGATTTAAATATTATTTCTTAGAATGCTGGGTTGTTTCAATCCAATTTTGGGTGTAATATGGTCTAAACCAACTGCTGAGTTAATTTTTTTAATTAAATAATAAGACCAAATTTAACCCAGTGTTTAGGCTAATCTAAATTTTACCCAATTTTGGTTTAAATAAACCAGAGTGCAACATTTTTCCAAATATTGTCAAAACAATCTCAGTTTTGAAACCACTTGAGGTTGATTTAAATATTCATTTTTATTTTGAACTATTTTTTTGATTGCAAACTGAAGCTTGCTGTTTTATTTAACTGATAGAAATGTTTTCATCTTAACAATCTTCTGTGGTTTAGCGCTAAACACTTGTCTGCTCCATAAGCTACTCAAGGAACAAGTAGCAGGCGAAAGTGAAATACTAGAAAAATTAATATAGAGACTTCCCTTGGCAGGCACTAATAAAGAACGAGTAGGTGGGCGTGTCAAAACTTAAAATATTTTACCGCTCGTTAACCTCATATCGACACCTTTGGGTTTCCAGGTGCTGTCATTAGATATGATGAGACTTTAATCCCGAGATTAAACCGCAGAGAAGGTTTGATAGAAGAGAAGAGGTCAGGCACACACACATCACGGATGGGAAATAGAGTTTACAGAATAATAGAGGAGAAGGGCAGGAGAGAGGAGGATTAAAAAGGAAGGTCGGTAACGAGGGAGCCGATCAAGAAAGACAGAGATAAGGGGAGAGAAGAGGAAAAAAAGGATTTTTGAAAATCGAGCTATACACAGAGCAGTTACCGAGTGTGTAAGCGTGACAGACAGACGGAGAGAGACACGGAATAAGCAAGCAGTTGTGTCAGGTTTCATCTTCATCATTGGCGTTGCTGCTCATCTGCCTGCTGAAACAGAAACACACACGCTGATGCACTCAAATCCTCTGTCTTCCTGTAGTTTCAATGAGTCGTTAGTGTCAGGCCGCTGAGGCTTTAATTTGATTGATGATGATTCACCGCTGTTTAATTCATCATTGTGCTGATTGATGCTCTCGCTTGTGTTTTCACAGTACTACGAGATGTCCTACGGGCTCAACATTGAGATGCACAAACAGGTAAGACAGTCCTGTGGGGCGAATTTAGCAAACTGTTTTGCCTGTGGTATTTTTGTTAATGCTAAACATCGTCTCATTCTCTGTTCAAACTGCACACAAGTACGATCCAGTTTTTAAATCAGATCATCTGCCATTCAGTGATCTGACTGTTCACGTTTGTTACATATATCTATGTGGATTGGATCTGGATTCTAAACATCTTATTTCATGCAGTCTTCACACTTCACAAGTTCACACTTGTAAAATTTTTTGATATGGTTTGGATCCAGATTACAGATGTCTGATTTCGTGTATTCTGACTGTTCACATTTGTAACATATATGAATATTGTTTGGATTCTGATTATTTACATCTAATGCCATGCGATCTGACTGTTCACATTTGTTACATATATGAATTTGGTTTGGGTCTGAATTATAAACATCGGATTCCATGCAGTCTTACCGTTCACACTTGTTATATTTTTATATGGTTTGGATCCAGATTACAGATGTCTGATTTCATGTGTTCTGACTGTTCAGATTTGAAACTTATATGGATGTTGTTTAGATTATGAATAATTTACATCTGATGTCATGTGATCTGACAGTTTGTTACATTTAGGAATTTGGCTTGGATCTAGATTATTAACATTGAATTTCATGGAATCTGACCGTTTACTTTTGTAACACACATGGATATTGTTTGAATTATTAATATTAATATTTGATATGATGTTTGATATCATATTTTGATATTTGATATGATGTCGTGTGATCTGACTGTTCACATTTGTTAAATTTTTAATTTGGTTTGGATCCAAATTACAGATGACTGATTTCATGTGTTCTGACCAATCACATTTGTAACATATGTATGCGGTTAAGATCCAGACTACAAATATCAGTTTTCATGTGATCTGACCGTTTACATTTGTAACATATATGGATGTGGTTTGGATCTGAATTATAAACATCTGATTTCATGTGATCTTACCATTCACACTTGTAAAATTTTTAATATGGTTTGGATCCATATTACAGACGTCTGATTTCATGTGTTCTGACTATTCACATTTGTAACATATGGATGCGGTTTAGATCCAGACTACAAATGTCAGTTTTCATGTGATCTGACCGTTTACATTTGTAACATATATGGATGTGGTTTGGATCTGGATTATAAACATCTGATTTCATGTGATCTTACCATTAACACTTGTAAAATTTTTAATATGGTTTGGATCCATATTACAGACGTCTGATTTCATGTGTTCTGACTATTCACGTTTGTAACATATGGATGCGGTTTAGATCCAGAATACAAATGTCAGTTTTCATGTGATCTGACAGTTCACATTTGTCACATACTGTAAATGAATTTGGTTTGTATCTGGATTATAAACATATGATTTCATGCGATCTTTCCGGTTACATTTGTAAAATATATGGATAGAGTTTTGAATTGGATTATTAACATCTGATACCATCATGCGATCTGACCGTTCACATTTTTTACATATATGGATGTGGTTTGGATCTGGGTCATAAACATCTGATTTCATGTGATCTTACCGTTTACATTTGTTCCATTTTTTGATATGGTTTAGATTCAGATTACAGATGTCTGATTTCATGTGTTTTGACCGTTCACATTTGTAACATACATGGATATAGATTCTGATTATTTGCATCTGTTGTCATGCGATCTGACCATTCACATTTGTTATATATATAGATGTGGTTTGGATCTGGATCATAAACATCTGATTTCATGTGGTCTTACCGTTCACACTTGTTACATTTTTTGATATGGTTTGAATCCAGAATAACAATGTCTAATTTGAATTTGTTCTGACCATTCACCTTTGAAACATATATGGATGTGGTTTCGATCCAGACTACAAATGTCAGTTTTCATGTGATCTGACTGTTTACATTTGTAACAAAAATAGATATTCTTTGGATTCTGATTATTTACATTTTATACATCTTATATTTACATGCGGTCTGATAGTTCACATTTGTTACATATATGGATGTGGTTTGGATCTGGATTATAAACATCTGATTTCATGTGATCTTATACCATTCATACTTGTTACGCTTGTTTGTTTTTGATATGGTTTGGATTCAGATTACAGATGTTTGATTTCATGTGATCTGTTTTCATTTGTAACACATATGGAAATTGTTTGGATTCTTAATATTAACATCTGGGGTCATGCAATCTGACAGTTCACAAATATATGGATGCAGTTTGGATCTGGATTAAAAGTATCTGATTTTATGTGATCTGAGTTTGGGATACATCAGGATGTAGTAAGGATCTTGTTTATAAATCAGTTCAGTTTCATGTATTTTATCCATTTACACTTAAATTAAACATATGTGGATATGGCTTGAATTTGGTTTATAGATTTACCATGACCAGTGATTTGACCATTCACATCTGAAATGTGTGGTTTGGATCAGGTTTAATTAATGTCTGATTTCAATAACTGTCATAAAAATAGGATATATAACTTGTTATAATACTTTGTTGTTGTTTTAAATACAGAAGGCATTGGAATAGTTGAGTGAAATGTGCATCCTATACAGTACTTTGGGTTTTAAAAGGAAGAACTTGACCATGCACCTTGCATTTAACAAACCTGGTTTATACAAATCTTTTTGTGAACTGGATACTGAAACCCTGAAACCACATACGCATGGCAATACAAATAAACAACACTATCAGTGGATGCAATTCATTCTCATTGAATCCCCTGTGTGCGTTTGTGTGTGTGCGTGTGTGTGTGTGTGTGTGTGTGTGTGTGTGTGTGTGTGTGTGTGTGTGTGTGTGTGTGTGTGTGTGTGTGTGTGTGTGTGTGTGTGTGTGTGTGTGTGTGTGTGTGTGTGTGCGTGCAATTATATGGTTTTAATGGGGTTTTAGGGAGGGTCAAATCTCTCACGATGCTCCATAATTACACACATACTTATAACATTAAACCAAGACACAGCTAAAACTATAAAGTGGAATAATTTTTTTAAATAATATAATATTCATGAATCAAAAAATAAATACTGATTACGTAAAATATGATATATGAATCCTTATTTTTGTAGACAAATATGCATCAGATGATCCATGATTTGATGATTTGGTCTTTGGCGATCTATTAACATGCCCCCACTTCATTGATATTTAATGTTAGTATCTTCTGTAAGAATAGCCAGTGCCTGTGTGTGCCTCTCGTTTTGTTCCTCAGACTGATTTCCCTCTACATCAGTCTTTTCTGGCATGTGAGGAAGGGGGTAATCATACACTTTCTGTGTGAGCTGGCACAGATGAATGGAGAGTGATGGAGAAAGACAAGAAACAGACAAATGTCACAGGAAGGGAAATAAAATATCAGTGTAAAGTTTTGTCGAGAGCTTCCCACTTGTGGGTGGAGCTTCTGTCATCGTGCTTTCATTCAACAAACTGATTTGCTCTTAATAGGATTCCAGATTTCTGCGTCTCCGCCCTTCCTCTAATCCTGCTTTCATCGTAGTACTTTTATTTATTCGTTTATTTATTTATTTATTTCCTGTCAGTCTCTGTAGGTCTCACTTCTATCCCTGTGGATTTAAAACACTGGATTAAGATATGATTGCTGGATAGACAGAGATCTAGATAGTTCAGAGTGTGTGTGCGCGCACGTGTGTGTGTGTGCACACCATGTCTTCCTGACATTGTGGGGACACTTGTATATGAAAATACCAGTAGATTTTGACCTTGATTTAACCATTTTTTGACTTTTGAAAATGTAAAAATGCAGATTCATTTAAGAGTTTGGTTTAAGGGTAGGTTTGGAGTATGGGGATGGAATATATAGTTTGCACAGTATAAAAGTCATTACGTCAATAGGAAATCCCCATATAGATAGGTGTTTGTATGTATGTGTGTGTGTTTTAGAATTCTAGGCTGTGTGAAATTGCCACATGATTTTCAGCACTGCTCAGATGATGTCTTTTGCACATGATTGGCATCTCAATTATAGTTCACTGAATTTGAAAACATGTGTTCACTGAATCTCAGAATGCATGCATGTATTCGGTCAGGGGTCTGTATATAAATGTTTTGTTCTCTCTGTCTGTGTGTGTCCTTTTGTCTGCTTTATCTGTATGTTTTTCTGTAAATCTGCACTCATTTCTGAATTGTTGTGTACACCTGATCTAGTGCTTGCAAACACAAATATCTAGTCAGCCAATCACATGGCAGCAAGAATATTCACCCTCTTGATGTGGTTTGGATTTGGATTAAGATCGTTCGATTCCGTGTTACTTGTTTATGTTGTCATGGATGAGTCGTAACATTAAGTGAGTTTCTACTGGTGCTTTGTGAAAATAAGAGAACACAACAAATAAATGTGCAAAACAAAAATAACAATTTATTAAACAATGATATTAAACAATGAATATAGGAATTCAAAATGTACCTTAAATAACCGAATCAAACAAAAAACAGGAGTGTTGCCAAAATGAAGAAATAAATATAACAAAATAATCTAAAGGGGTGACGTGGTGGCACATTAGGTAGTGCTGTCGCCTTACAGCAAGAAGGTTGCTGGTTCGAGCCTCAGCTGGGCATGTTGGCGTTTCTGTGTGGAGTTTGCATGTTCTCCCAGCGTCACGTGGGTTTCCTCCGGGTGCTCTTGTTTCCCCCACAGTCCAAAGATATGCGGTATAGAATTGGGTAGGCTAAATTGTATGTAGTGGATTAGTGTGAAGGAGTGTGTATAGATGTTTCCCAGAGACGGGTTGCAGCTGGAAGGTCATCCGCTGCGTAAAACATATTCTGGATAAGTTATCGATTCATTCCGCTGTGGCGACCCCAGATTAATAAAGGGACTAAGCCAAAAAGAAAATGAATGAATGTATCTAACTAAATCCCAACCCACTAAACTAGCCAAAGAAAAATGCAGACAAAACCATAATCTTCAGCGTATGTGAAGCTTAACTATTCAAAACATAATTACAAGTGTGGCAACTCCTTCA